ATACCAGGTAAGTGAGTTCATAGGCATACCAGGTAAGTGGAAGAGTGCAGAGGCATGCCAGGTAAGTGGGAGAGTTCATAGGCATGCCAGGTAAGTGGAAGAGTTCATAGGCATGCCAGGTAAGTGGGAGAGTTCATAGGCATACGAGGTAAGTGGAAGAGTTCATAGGCATGCCAGGTAAGTGGGAGAGTTCATAGATATACCAGGTAAGTGGGAGAGTACATCAGTATAGATATCTCTATAGCTCAAGAGATAAGATTGAATGTGACATGCAATTATTTATTTGGTTTGGTACGTTGAGGATGAAGGCCCATTCAAAAGGCTGGATCCATAAATGGAATCTGATACCTCTTTCTATTTCAGTTGCTCTTAAGAAATGAAATATATATCTGTTTACCTTCATATATAAGTACTATAACCCTATTTATGTCATACTTTTATTGAATATATATATCTTTAACTGTACTCTCACTTATTTTAAACCATGCAAACTTGTGTGTGTGTGTTAATAGTTTTGATGATTATTAAGATTATAAGAAGTGCTCTTACTACCTTTGTGCCAAAAAGAAATTTTGACCTGTGACAAAGCATTATCTTGAATTTTTCTCGTTTTTCAGTTTATACCCTGAAGGAAAGGTGCATCCAGTTGATAAGAAGATACGTAAAAGATGAAGATATCAGTAGTTTAGAAATACCTAGATCATTACAGCAAGACATTAGAAACACCAGAAGCAACTTTGTTCCTTTGATAGACAGACAGGCGTTATTGAATGAACAGCAGCAGCAAATACAACAACATTTAGTGCAGCAACAGCAACATCATCAACACCATCATCATCACCAAGAACCACAGTTGTAGTGTTAGTTATTATGTTTATGTGTAGTGGCTGTGTGTATGTGCTTAGAGGAATCCAGTGGCTGATTTAGATGGGGGGTTAAGGGGGGTCCTGAGTCCTGCCCCCCCCCCCCCCCCCTTCAGTCTTTGAAAAAAAAAGTCATATTAATTTTCCCCTCTTGGAATTAGAATTTTGACAAGTTGAATCATAGTTCTAAACCATACTCATAGTTCTAAACCATACCAAATGGCTTTATTCACCCTCTAAAATACCAAGATTTTTCGGGGCCCTTCAGCGGGGTGTTGGGTCAGCTTTGTGTCTGTGGACCCCCCCTTCAAATATTCCTGGATCCACCCCTGGAATCTATGGCAAAAAATATTAAGTCTCCCCACCCCTTTTTAAAGGAAAAATGCAAAATCTGAACTGCACATTCCAAATATGGCACATGCTGCTGTTATTGATTATCATCATTATGAAGTTCATGATTTTATTCAACATCCATCAAGTGTTCTTTTTTCACATCTTTTACAGTAGAATTTAGTATCATAAAAACATTCAAAAAAGTTACAAAGCTGTGTAGATAACATCGTGAATGGAGGAAGTATGAGAAATGGTGCAAAAAATAAATTGGATAAAAATGTAATATTATTTCGGGTTTCATCAATAAATGTACTTAAAAGAAGTGGGTTTAATTGTCAGACAAATTCCCCCAGGATTATAGAGGGAAATGAAATGCATTAGCTTTTTTTATGTTATATAGTGTATTTAAACCAACATTTATACATCGTTGTGTATTAAAAAATAGTGCATGCAAAAAATATGGTGCTTGAAAGTGTATATTTATTTGAATAAACATCAGCAAATTACATGAGAGGAATCGTGAATACCAGTCGCAATGCCGTTCTCCGCCAGAGCACAACTGCTGCAATCGTATCATCTATGGTGATGCAGAATAGAATAGGATAGAATATTCCCAAGACAAAGTTCTATCGTTTCACACACACACACACACACACACACACATACACAAATCGTAATCAGTTCGTGAAGTTCTTGACAGATTCGTATATATTCGTGGTCAGTTCTTGCAATTCTTGATCAATCACGAACTGATTACGATTCAACCACGAATCCTGAAATTTGCCAATTCCTGGCGATTCGTGGTCTGTGTGAAATAGGGGCATAACACCGTGCTACGTTAGCTTATCAATAGATGCTGAACGGAAGATTGGGACGGGCCTTCAGCAAGAAAATATGGGAACTTTTCACATTATTCGTCATGATGCAACCTAAAATACAGCTGCGTTCTATTTTTAATGTACCTAAAACATTGACAGAATTAAAGAACCAGATACCGCCAAAAAGCACCACCAATACGTCCGCTCGTGTTAAGGAGAAGGATGTTCAACTCTCGAAGAATCGTACCGTACTTCTCAAACGATAACAGTGACTCCAAATATCTTCGTGCTTATCAGAGTCTTTAATATTCCTGTCAACCTATACGGTAATTTTCGCTTAAGATTAATGGACAAAGAATGAAAAAGCATACCTCTATTTAATAGTTGTGACACTATAAAGACTGCGTTCTTAGAAAATATTGTAGATTTATCTATGAATTGTTAACAAATTAATGTGTGTGTGTGTGTTCACTCACGCAAACACACATATATATACTCGTAATAGTAGTAATAAGGAATTCATCGATTTCTTCGAAATGTGAGAGTAAATTTCGATGTTGTATTCATAATTAAAATATCTAGTAATGAACATTAATGACTTCTCTACAACAGCCATTAGCCGCTCCTTCCCTTGGGAATTCTAGATGGCGTTAATCTATTTACTTTTAATCTTTTTATTACACTGATGTATCTTCAACTAAATTGTTCCAAATTAAAGGATATATATAGTTTTACGCTTAGAGGTGTGTTACATGAGATTGATCACGCTCACTCATCGCGTGGAGGTATTTTCCCGTTAAAAATGACGCAGCCCCGTCAACCAACCTTGCCACGTCATAGCGTATTGGGACATCATGTTAATAGGCACCATAGGAGCTACGTCGTGTGGATAAGTGCGTAGAACCGTGTATTGGTGGATCTCCACTGGCATGGAAAAGAAAAGACAAATACTACTGATGACGTCAGATTACCCCTCAAAAAATAAATAAATAAATAAATAAATAAATAAATAAAATAAAATAAAATAAAATAAAATAAAATAAAATAAAATAAAAATAAATAATTAATTATATAAATACATAATATCCCTTTTTTTCTGATTAAGCATTCACCGCCTATCTAACATTGTGTGTTGGTGCAGTGTTATTTCATCAATGAAAAGAAGCTTACACCCCTGTTTTTTCTCACCTGAGTGTCTTTGACAAAACTTCGTACCAAATACATTTACTGAACTTAGAAAGTTGTGTACACATTGAGGCATAATATTTTCACTTATCGAGGATGGTAACCTAAAATATTTAACAATATCTCATGGCTATTAATATTAATGTTTCGACAATTTATGAGCAATGTCAATATAATTTCATCATTCTCATATTCCAAAAACTTACACCGTCTCGGAACTGGCGGAATAATTGATGTAATTCGTTCCAGATGATTAAATTAGATTATTATATTTTTTTCTTTCCATATAAAAACAATCGAGTTCCACGCAAATAACGAACTTTCATTTTTTTCTGGTGACTGGATTAATTTCTTTTCTGGCAAAGCTCCAAGGCTTATCCCAATTGTCACAGGAAGATGCTTATTACAACATTTAAACATAATAAATACATTATCTATTGATGATAGTAATATTTCCTTAGGGGAAACGCTGTGCGTTTTTTGCAAGCCCGGGAGTGTCTTTGGTTGTTTTCAAGTTGTGTTCGATAAAAGACGACCGGAAGTCAGTATTACTCTTCAGAATTTCAGACTGAGAGTATTAACACACACACACACACACACACACACACACACAGAGAGAGAGAGAGAGAGAGAGAGAGAGAGAGAGAGAGAGGTTGCCAGAAGAAAATAAAATAAAATGAGTGGTTCTTCAAGTAACAAAGTTAATCACAGATCTTGTCAAACATCCAACTTAGTCGACCACAGCTCTCTGACAGTGATGTAGCGCCCTGGTGTATGTACTACAGAAACACTGCCACACGTGAGGTGACAATATCAGGGATCTTCTCCCAGTTTTCAGTGCTTCCCGTCAACCCTTGGGGAAAAGTCGAATATGATGATGTATGTGTTGTGAACAGTGCTCTACACGGGTACCGTAGAATAGGCCATTTGCAGCTAGATGACTAGATGGTGATTTCTTTTGTTTATTGAAGAACTTGCTCTCCAGCATTCTTTTGCTTACCACCATCTCTTCATGATCAGTAAACAAAAAAGTCAACTTCAAGCTGCAAAAGGTCTATTATGAAGGAAAGGGGGCCTGTTCGTTTTCATCCTAGAAGTTCTTAAAAATTACGCCCTCCTCTTTACAAAAAAAAAAAAAAAAAAAAAAAAAAACGATTTTTCCGAAATTCAGGGAACACAATTACTGAAATAAAAAATTATTTAATTTCAAGGATTTAACCGACCTAAATGACGAATTTTGTAATAGCAACGTATTTCTTAGACTATTTAAAAGCTCTGAATGACCCCGCCTCTTTTCGATCAACATCAACAATCAAGCATCATACTTGCCCTTTTCTCTCTATTGGCAGCAACCAGAAAGCTAAATGAAACGGCTCCGAAATTACTATTACTTAATTACTAGGCCCCTGCGGGGATGGCGCGTGTGACAGCCGGAGAGACCATTAGAGGATCATTTGGCTTTGTTTTCAAGTGGGGTCGGCCATATTTGATCCGCGGGCTAGTTAGTGCGCGGATCATCTGTTGTGACAGCGGCCATTGTGTCGCATGCCAGCATTAATTAAAAGAAATTAGTCAATATCATCATAATTGTAAAAAAATAAAAATGAGAACGCCTTTTGTGTCCTTTTTAAAGCGAAGTTAGTTTAAAAACAAAATGATACAGACACGTCTTCACGTGGATGTGGGTATTTCCGGTAAATAGACCAATGTTTACTAAATATTAGATCTTGTTGACCGTCATAAAGGTAAAACACCATTAAGGCTCCATTGGCAGCTGCCATACGCTCACAAGGCGGGATAAACCCAGTGACTCGCGCTTAGTGCGTAGCGGTCGCTGAATTATTTATCATGTAGAAGCGGCTCAGGCATTTCGAGGAATTGGTCACGCGAGTTTTCGCTATAAAACTCTGATAGATGAACCATAGTGGATGATACTGTAGTGGAAGCAGCTTGCGATTCTACGCGTTTAATCGCCATTAAGAGCTTGTTAAGTGCCGACAATATATCCTATAGCAACAAGGTGGAACGACATGACGGCGTGAAGATTAATTTTTTTGTCGTTGTATAGAACAAATATTCAGGGAAATTAACATTAGTTTCTGGTAATATTGGTGAAATATATCCAGAAGTGAAAACAGACCCAGCCGGGGACGCAGTGAAACACGCGACATTTTTCACCTTTGATTTGGTATTGCTGCCTTTGCGGCAGACGCGTGTATGTCGGGAAAAGTTAGAAATAGTTTTCTATTTTGAGGTGTTGATTGACAGTTGAAGAGGAACTTCGAAGGTTACTGCAAGACGTGGATTGGCTTGAAAGCCGTGTTTCTTGAACTAGCTTTTTACTGAATCCAACCACTCCTACGCAGAAAGCACTCTCAACGCTGAGCATTCAGTGCACTTGAAGTGAGTTGATTTATTTGGTTTGAGGACGCGGGCACTGTTGAATTTAACGAACGATGACTTACCAATTCCGGGGTCACTTTAGACAGCTAAGGATCCTGAACGCAGTCGAAAGTGCTTTGTTTTTCATTGTGCTGCTTTTATCACACGACCTTGCAGATGGAAACATTTCACTCAAAGGTGAGAATTTTACATCATAGTTAACCAATTTTTTTTTTATTTTTTTCTCATTTACTATGCTTGCTTGCAAGTTAGAAAGAATGACGCAAACAAGCGATGTATCTAATATTATTGGATGGAATGATGCAGATCTATTATTAAGAAAGAGGCGTAAAGAAATCTAATCTCGTGGTATAAGGGCTTGTAATCTATATGACGCAAATGAAAAAAAATGTCACTTAAAGTGTTTCAGGCAGTTCTGAATGAATGTCTCAAGGTAGAAATGGTTACCATGGCATCCAGTAACAAAATGTTTCTGGTAATAATAACGATAATAATAGTAATAAAACAGGTAGAAATGAAAACTCTAGAAAATGGTACAAGAATGCTGTGAACAAGGTCAACCACTTCTTAGCACCATCGTGCTTTCCTCCATATGCTGCTGACATGAACACATTTTATCACTTTCTATTCCTAAGCAGTGTAAAACTTCTCAATAACTAAGGAAATTATTAGCGACGTCGCATACAGAAAGCAATTTTTTTTTATTTTTGCCTGTTTGTACACAATAGTAAACAGGGGTCAGCGAGTCCAAGGAACGCTGAACGATTATACCTCTATCTTTTACTAAAAAGATGACACGTGAACATTCCCTTTTTGCTGTCTTTAAACAATTCACGAAGCGAAAATTCCTCCGCTGATGAATAAATCACGGCATCACAGGCGAAAGATTTTCAAAAAATTCCTCGCTTTCCAGACACACAGAAATAACTGAATGCAATATACGTTATCAATGTTTTAGCGGAGAGTCGTGGGTCTGAATATTTAAGAAACTGTACCTTAAAACTTATGTTCATCGTCCAGATTTTTGTTTCTACCCCACCACTTCTGTTGGCCAAACAAGGTTTATATTAACTACTATGTTTTCGGTTATATAATCCCAGCAATACAGTTACATAAACGTTTCGCAATAAAAAAGTGATAAAGATTTCAAGAAATCAATGCAGCTATTCATTCAGAGTAACAACCGAGTTGCCCACCTTTAGGAACGACCAGAACGCGGAACAGACGCGTTATATGAGGGAATGTGGAACGCTAACCCAAGGTTCCGTTTATGCACGTAAAATACGTCTGACGAATTAGTATTGGCACTTCACCCACCTGCCAATTCCACTTCCAGAGGAAACTTTTGGTGCCATTCAGAGAATTTCTTTTCAGAATTGGTTGTCCATTGGGGCGTGTTTAGACGCAGCTATCAATCCAAACCACTTTAAGGTCTTCGACGCGTCACTGGATGACCAAATTAACAGAACTAATTGTTGCATTTCGTTATTCCTTGCACGTCCCCTGAGGCAGTAGGCCGGGTCGATAAGCGGCATATGAAACTACTTGGAAGGGGTTCTGCCAAAGTCTCCCGTGTGGACTGACAGTATTTTGATGATTACTTAAAAGTATACTTCAATTGGTTTGCCCAGAGGCATAGTCTAGCCCTGAACAGGTGTAACGAAAATGAGGGTCCGTGTATCAGAAAGTCCGCCCTCTATTTACTTATAATGGTTAGGGTTAGTTTGACCTAAGTGGGTCAAAATCCCTGGGCGCAAGTCACCTGTACAAATGAATGGGAATCGGACTCTCTGTCATAGGGGACTCTCTGTCATGTTACACCGGTCGAGGTGTGGTTGATGTCTGAACGCACAGGTACAATAACGGATGGATTCTCACACTATCACGTGTAGGAAGGAGTGCTCTACCTGCGCCTACCTGACAGTTGCATGGCGCCGTTCCTGGGTGTGACCCAAAGGTATGTCTTCTGCTGCGTTCACACCAAAACTATTTGAGACCGAACACCAGTCTAAAGTACGTATATATAAATGGTACAATTATAAAGAAACCGAGGGTCCCTATGCGATCTGAACGCAAGTTAGGATATTTTTAAACATTACACGTCTACGAAAGTCTGAAAGTCTGGTTTCACCAGATTTTTCACCTTTTTTTGTTTTTTTGGAAACACTGAAAAAAGGCAAATCCCCCATGTAAAGAAAATGCGAGTTCAGTCAAGCTATAACCATTGCCTCGTTTTAAGCGATTTCCCCCATTAACCATTTATACGAAAATAACTTAGCGTTCCTTTCGCGCGGAAACCACAAGTATCTTTGAAAAGAAGCCAAACGACAGAGACGCGTGTGAAGGAAAGTTAAGTCTCTCAATGGCAGGTCTACCAGTACAGTTGGAGGAGTTTGTATTTCCGAAGCTGTTCTCAGATAAGGCCTATTATTACGGCAAATTGATATAACTGAAAATTAATTACGGATACAAGCAATCTCATAGTTGCCTGGTAAAACATGTATTTTGTTTGCCCTCAAATTAGTTTTCAGTGCAAGGTTTTGGGTATGTTGAGATCTTTGGATTTTTGCCTCTGGAATTTTCCAGACTATTATCTTGTTTTGACAGAGGCAGCTGGCGGCAGCTGATGGTACCGCTGCCTGCCTCTTCTCTGGTCAAAAATCAAAAATAGCCTCTCGTTAAACACGCAATCCGTGTTCCCGCCATAAGACATGCGAGGCGAACGTGACTGTTAATTAATATCAATTGATCTGTCAGTGCACCACGGAGAACAAGAGACGCCCGGAATACAGCTTAATCAGAAATAGAAGACATATTTGAGGCATGCTTTCTGATATGTGTCTTTGATACCACGTCGTATTAGAACTATATAACCCAACAATATAGAGACTTCACTGTAAATAAGTCAAAATACTTTTATGTGTACGGTAATTCTAAGAAGATGTGTCAGATATCACAATCCGAAAGAAACTCATCCATCCATTCATCCATCGATTCGCCCATTAATTGATTTATTCAATCACACAAATTTTGATTTGGTTGATGAGAAAAGAACTTATCTGATCATACCATCAGTAAGGCAAGCCTTCAAGGAAGCTGTTGCTAAAAGTGAACAGATGAGGAGAGCAGTGGTGCAGGTAGCTCTTCCTCGTACCACCGAATCCTCACAGGTGAAGACCTCAAGCTACGGCCGTCGTCCGGTTTATTGCATACCACTGCAAGATAGAATTCTTTGGAAGAAATTAGAAAATTTGCATTTTTTATTAGATTGAGAAATACGATTACAAATGCTCAAGGACGATTCATATATTGATTTCCCAACACATTTCACTTCTCTGTTACATGTATTCGGTGCTCTTGATACGGGAAAGTGCTGAAGAATATTGTTTATTAAAAAAAAACCCCTGACGATGTACTTTGGCTATTAAATATAGCAATTCTCCTGAGTATATCCGCTCAGGTAATGTAGCGTGATGTATCAAATAACGTAGGCGTCGGAGCAGAGAGCCGGGTGACTGCTAAACCAAATAAACACATGAAATATTAATCTCAAAGTTATGGGTGTTTTGTGCTATTTTAAAATGTCATGACAGGAACAGATAGAATATAAGTATCACCCCGGGCCGTCCCCTAGATGTACAACAAGTTACAGTTATTGTCAGGGTTCCACCAGCGTTTGATGTCACGTGCCTCGGTCAAGTTAAAGGGATAACAAGTGTTCATTTTGGCCAAAAATGAAATTTCCTAGGGTAAACGGTAATTTTTCATACTTACCAATGGTAAATGAATCCATTTCTACATTCAAAGTTAGTCCCTGTTTTTTTCTCAAGAAATTGTTGTTTTTTTTGTAATAGATTTTTACTGACTATAGCCATCTATGGAGGTCATGTGGTCTGATGACAAGCATAGATTTGAGATTAATTGCTATAACTGCCGTTTTTGTGGTAAAATAGAATACATTATATTTCTATGAGTTGTGTACAATGTATTTTATGAAATATGGATCTCATGCGAAGAGTTGTTATCCCTTTAAGCTCCAAGCAATGGGCAGAGTGGAAAGCTGTCGGGCTGTTTAATACAAACGCTCGATCTGAAGATGTGAACCATTTTTAAAACCAGGCAGCTGAAATAATCCGTGTGTTTGGCAAATACAGTAATTATATCTTCCCACTGGAAGAAGCATTAGGAGGCCTTTGTCCATCAGATGAACACTATATGTTCTAAATGATGATGATGATGATGATCTTACGCATGGGGACTTTTATGCATGTGATATGAAAACTACATGTAACATCCATTGTGTTTACGCAAGCTCAGATGTTACTTTAGCAGAAACAACATTTATTAGAAAGTACAAACGAATAAACAGACAAACAAAATTTATCGAAAAGAGTACAAACTAATGAAACATTTGCTTTATTATCTTACGCAAAAAAAAAAAAAAAAAAAAAAAAACTCAAAGGAAAAAGAACAACACCAGTAGCTCGACATTACACATCGTAAACGTCAAAGTAATCTATTATTTAAATATTCCTGTATGAATATTTAACGGATATAAGACATAAGGTGCTTAATGAAATAGAACATGTAAGGCCGAATGGGAAGAAGCAGCATTCCATGAAAATGTTCACAAAAAAACGGAGATGGGCAAAAAAAAAAAGCCGTTGACTTAATTGTTTCGTTTTTTAAACACATCTAGGTATGCAGCTATTGTGACGCAAAATAGTTTCAATTTTTTTGTAGAAAATGTACAATGAGATTTTTGTCAACCATTTGCAGTTCATTAGGATTTTTTTGTTTTTTAGATGTATATCAGACGGCAGGGCCTGAAGGAAAAAGTGTCGAAAAACGCAGGTAAGTTCACGTGTGATCTCCCTAAAAAACGAAAGACATTAATTCAATGGGATACGCTCTCGTGTTCATGTCAGTAATGTACTCACAGGATGAAGTGTCACCCCTACTGAACCAATACTTGGGGGAGATAAATGACTGTGGAATGATATGCTCCTGGTATCATTTAATTAACATCAAATATCACACACACACACACACACACACAAATGTAAACCAGGCATTATAACTACTCAAGATCTGCCAACTTTGATTATTGATTACTTGATTATTATTTGAATACTCTGAATCAGGAGGTGAAACTTCTATTGTCCATTGTGTGTACAGTGTAAGTCTTGGGCACTCGTGCCCTGTTTGTGCTTTCCTCTTTCTGTCTTTGTAACGCTTATCTTCCTATAACCTTGCATTCTTGTATGAAAAATCATCTTATGAATAATACAAAACTAAAAACGCGTAATCGAGGAAACATTGTCATGCAAAGCAATTCAAGTGAGACTAAGCAGTTTTGTAATAGGCCTACTAGATCCACGGCCCTTTTAAAACTTTTAAGTTAAAATGGGTTAAAAGTCTATATATGAAAATCATTTCGCTGTACAATTACGCTTCGCAAACTAGTAATTATTATGACTGTGATATAATGACTTTATCTTGAAAATTGGATTAAGATTCACATATGTGGCAAGTCACCTGTGCGAGCAATGTACAAGCAGTCCCCACAGACACAGAACGTTTTATAACGTTACATAACGTTTTATAACGTTACCATAACGTTATCATAACATTATAACGTTTATTGTTTACATTGACGTTTAAGTAACGTTATAATAACGCTCTGTGTTTGATGGACGATATATTGACGCACAATTTATCAGGAGGGTTTGCTTCCATTACCACTGCACTGGGATTCTCTTTTTTGCAGCTTTCTCTCTCGATTGAACTGTCTCCTGATGTCTCTTCCATTCCATGTATACGGGCAATCTTCACCTCAGTACATGTAAGTCTATTATATCTGAGACCTACGGAATGTGACAGGTGTCATGCTGAAAATATTATCTCGAAATTTCGAGGTAGTATTTTGAAATTTGGACAAAACATTATTATCTCGAAATTTCGAGATATGTCAAAATTTCGAGATAATAATTTTTCATCACGACATCTGTCGGCTTCCGTATAGACCTAGCTAGCGTTTCAGTGCACATAACCTTATAATTATAATTATGTTCAGTGTGCTTATACGAAATTCCGCCTTTTTTTCTGACAATGTGATTGATGTTTTTGTTTATATGTTCGTCCTTTCATCATTGGGAGCATGTTTTAATCAATTAACATCACCTTTCAGACTTCGACACTAGTTTTGCATTAGTTAATTGAATTGATTTTGCCCCAGCGATTATCAAATTGCCACTATTTTATTGTTCGGACAAGTTGACTTTATAGCGTCTATCTTGCACGTGACAGATATGTCGAGTACCTACACGTGTAAATGAAAGAAGATTGGATTAAAAGTCTCTGAGGCAATTAAAAGAAGTCATGCAATTAGAAAGTATGAAACTGATGGTTTTGTGATTATATAAAACTGAATGAATTTTGCATGGCCAAACTTTTTAGATTCATTCTGGATATACCAGTGGTACAGCTTTAGAAGAACATTTCGTGTATGTCGTCCTATTCAGTGCGCTGGTTGCTTACGAAAACTGATATAAATACAGTCCATTAAAGTATTAGTATCACTAAAGACACGCAGACTGTCATTCAGAGATCCGTGAAAACTTTTTTTCGAGTACACATACAAAAGTTAACCGCCAAAACTCAGGGTGAAAGACTGTAGGCATATTCTTCAGTTAAAATGGACCGATAAATAGCGTCCGAGTTCCATAACATACGATAATGTGGACACGCGAGACCAGTTAGTAGTGGGAAATAAAGACTTAAACGCCATTACTTTTTCAATCATGGCATGTTTTACGAGCAGTGACATAAAACATTGATATACACCGTATAATATCAGCTATAAGACCTCATTTTATTGGCCTGTATGTGTCATTTCTTTCAATTTGGGACTATGAAATGTGACAGTCACACAGAAATAATTTTATTTTCAACTTGTAAATTATTAATTGATGTTGTACCGCACTCTTACCTATAGGCCTTGAATACATAGATTGCCATGGTTAAGATGAATCATTCAACTGTGGATTGAGATTGTCATACCCGCGATCGTGCTGACCTCCAATATGCGTGCACATCACCATCAGGGCCATGGGCGTCCGCAGAAAGTTTTCCAGGGTGGGTGGGTGGGTGGGTGGGTGTGTGTGTGTGTGTGGGGGGGTCAAAGTCACTGAAGGGGGAGAAAATGATTGGTTAGGTACCCGCAATAAAAATGTTCCAGTTCTAAAATTCCAGGGGGGGTCAAGTGACCCCGTTGCCCCCCCCCCCCGTAGACGCCCTACTGGGCCAGCATTACTTCCGCTCTAGATCTGGAAATATTAAAAATGAACACAGAAACGACTAACCTCCAATAAAGCATTAGATGTACGTTAATTTAGTAAAGATACTAACTTGATATAACCTGTTTTTCGATAAAATACGAATGGAAAACCCTAACAAATGCTGCTGTTGTTCACCTTAAAGCAATATGATGCAATATTTTTTCACCCCTCTGTATTTATCTTGACAGGGGATAATTTCAAAATGTAGACAGCAATGACTGCATGAATCGTTTTAAATATCAAACATTATTTGATACACTGACTTATCCATCTATTATTTCAGTTCCGGTTGCAGGGAGGCGGCTGGGTTTGATAATTACGACGCCGTTGAGGCGACAGGTGATTCCGTCCCTGGAGATGACTCCGCCAGCTACAGGGGGTTAGTTTCTTCTCCGCGCAAGAAGCCTCAAGACGCTACCCCAGAGAACAGCATTCAAAGGTAGGTGCATGTATGCGTTGATATTTCCTATGTAGAAATATTAGATTTCCTTTAACATTAACACAATTTCAATAATTGGTGTGAGTTATAAATGTAAAATTGTAATAACTAGACATTTTAGGCTATGAGGATACAGGATCATAATGATCTCGTCGAAAAATATCCTAAAATCTTGGCAGTTTCCATACTTGATTTCTATATAACCTGGTTGGGTTTAGTAACATCTGCATAACACACCTGTTATCTTCTTTCGTTGACTTTGATTTTTTCATTTTCTGCTTTCTTTGATGTTTTGTTTTCTTTGACTCAGTTTATCATTCCTACCGTAAAACTGACCGCCCCTTGGGGTAATTATACATCGGTGTGTATACCGAATTCGAATATACTGAGAGTGAAAAATATCATTTAAAATGGACATTCACGGCGAGATCCCGTTTCAGGAAAGACCAGCTGCAGGTTAACCTCTGATTCATCTTCTTACGTATCCGGGGAAACAACATAAAACGGCATTAGTAAAATTGAATTAATCATTTTTGTGCCAATACTTGAAACATCACCACCCCGTTTTTTTATTCCAACACAGATTTACACAAAATCTATCAGATCACAAGCTAGGCATATTAACAGTCTATTACCGCCTTTTTTATATTCCACCACAGATTTATAACAAATCTGTTAAATCACAAAATCAATCTTATTACAATTTCCATTTCTTCCAGACTCCAGCCCTACCTGTTTTATCCGAACACCTGGTGTTACAGACAAAAATGTTCCAAGAACTCGGACTGCTGCCAGAGATACAATATATGTTCCATGAATATGTGTATCCCCTGTCTCCGCTCAGACCCCTGCCGAACTATGGCCGACTGCTGTAAAAGGTACCCCTATTGCAAGAAAAGCAGGTTCAGGGCCAAACAAGGGGAGTGGTCGGGGCAATGTGTGGACAAAAGACAGTTTTTTAATGATTAACGGTTTTCAGATTACGTTTGTGACAATCATCAATTTCATGTGGCTGGACATGTAATAAAGAAGTCATTAATTTAACTCAGTGGAAACATTCAACTTGGGGAACTATTTTGGAAAACATTTACAAAACTGTGTTTGTATTTTTGTTGTTTTCGTTTTGTGTTGAGTGTTAACTGTGAACATAGTAATATTTGACAATCTCACGGATATTGATATCCGCGCGTCCGGGAGGTAATAATTGTGACCAAATGGCACGAGACAGGGCCGTATCTTTACGGTTTAATAAAATATTTAATTGTAAGAACGCACTGTATTTTTCTATATGTTTGTACTTCAGCTGTGATAATAGCAAAATTAATTCTTGCAAAATCTTTGATTTTTAGAGACCCTCATTCTTGGCTATGATAAATCAAAATAAAATAGAAATTAAATATTTCAGAAGATCTCATGTCTGAAAAAAAGAATTTTTCAAAGGGGAAAAACCTTTTTAGTTAAAACTTGCAGCCTTCTTGACAGCTTTTTCGCTTAATCAATTGACATACAAGTAGATGTTATAAAAAAATAATTAACCCGATTAAATATTTAAACACGAAACAATGCTTATTTACATTCACATCTTGACTGCTAAGTATCATTTAAAACTCTTGCATCGCTATTCTAAATTGATAACAGGTAATTTCCCAAGTTTTCAATCAGCAGAAGCACAAACTAAATGTATCGAATGTTTAAAATCTACATTCAGTACTAAAAGTTTTTAAAATTCTCTTCTCAATATTTATTCGTGATTTTGTTTTATGTTCTGCAAGAGGCGTATCCAGATAGCTTCTGTACGATCACTTCCCCCCAAAAAGGTGTTTCACAGCTGAGTTTCCAAAACGTTCTCATTCATTTGCCTCAGTTTTGGATGTAGATGATATTGCAATGCACTGAATATATCATTTAATGTTCTTTTAGAAGGGACTCTAAAAATAACTATTCTATACGCACGGGACGGTTTGCAATGGCATTCCAATACGGTTGAAATTGTGTTGGCTCATTACTAAATTTGCATTCAAAATTATAAAAAATATACTTATGTTTTGACACTGTTTTGTTAGCTTTCAAAATCAACATTTACATATATGAAAATACTCAAAAACCTTAGAAAAATTTATAATTGGAATTCAATTTTCTATATACCTCATTTTAAGGATAAAATTTGTCTCTGATTAACCAATCAAGGTGAAAGTCGAGTGTAGGCTTCCCAAACTGCCATCGCAATTGTGGTAGGTTGGACAAAACAATTAGCGTATCCAGAGAGGTAAATTGACAGCCGTGGAAACGTGGGCGTGCAAAATTCGGATTAGCTTTCATCGGATGCGTACGATTTCATTATTTTTAGCAGAGCCTTTGGTTACGATTCAGACGTGTTGATAATAAAACCCGATTCCCAACTAAACTACAATGTAAAGGACAGTCTGAGGACGGCGCTAAAATACCTTGACGCCGAATATAACGGGTTTGAACACACTTTACAGGGGCGGATCCAGGATTATTTGAAGGGGAGGGGAGGGATGGTCCGCAGATGTGATGCCCCCACCCCTACTTGGCGTTGGGTTAAAATTTTTTGGTATTTTAGAGGGCGAACGGTGCCATTTGGTACGGTTAAGAACTGTAATTCAGCATGTCAAAATTCTAATTTCAAGAGGGGACCAGAAATCGATGGGGGGGGGGGGAGGTCAGGACCCCCCTGCCCCCCCTCTAAATCCGCCACTGCTTTAGTTAAAACGGACTGCTAAACATCTCTTTCCATCTTATTTGTAGTTTCGGTTGCGCGAAGACAAATGCCTTGAATGCAAGCAAAAATAATTGCTTCCATCTGGCAAAAAGTTACAGGGTCACAGTACAAAATAAGTGTACATACATGTAACTAGACAAAGACATATCTGTGACTATCTTATTGTCACCAGATGACCAATAGATGTATACATAATATAGGTCCACTGATCACATTGGCCTGGAATAAGTATTATCAGTCCATTGGCCTCGGGTTTTGAGTGCAAATCCGTTGACCATGATTACATGAGATAGGGCCAGGTCCACCGTCACAGCGTTGAGGCAAAACATCATGCATGATGGAGGATTGATTTTTTTTGTTTTCTTACTTTGTTGCACCTCTCTTATGTCACTGGTCCAACCTACAACATAATTAAGCAGGATTGTTAACTCATTCCGCGCATTCAGTTTTAATATGTTCCTCTTGTGCATAGTTTCCCGTTGTTCGCTGTTATTATTTTATTCAAAGCGTTTTACGACACACCTAGGCATATAAAACGCATTTGCATGATACAGGGTTGACGAAAGGACTGACACACCAGGCTTGTGAAATATTCTTCAAATGAAATCACTGAGATAACGATGTAACATGTACATATTTGAAAACATCAGACAAATACACAATCAAAATAAATAACAATAGAAAATCAATCAAAATAAGTATCAATACAGATGAAATGCAAAATGTAGCAAAATTTTCGTGTACTCTATACACAATTCTGCCCCCGGCATATGTACGTGATGAGGGATGAGCAACATATGACGAAAAGTTATATTAAAATTTACAAATATAAGGTCATGTGTCATAAATGCATAAAAGTGAAACAGATAAACTAGAGATGTCATTAGTAGAAACGCACAAAAGTCGCTCTAAGACATGGTATAGTAAATGACAAACTGTATATATATATGTGCGTATACCTAGTATGTAATTAAATGCACTTGAATTGACATTTTAACACCAGTGTCTTATATCTTTATCTTTCTTCAATTCAAAATTAACCATTTTCAAATTATTTATTTTACCATTAAATTCAATTTTAAGTGATATGGGAGCTTCATATAAGTCTAGATGTTAAAGGGTCTATGTTGTGGAAAATAATTACACTTAAATGTATAAAAACAAACGGATAATCGTGTGCTAAAATGGGTAAGAGATTACCATCTCAAACTCCCCTTTCAATACTTTTTGGCCTTGGCACGTGTTTTGTTTTGCATGTTTGTGCTAAATATGTAGCAGTCCTCTTTTGTCTTACTGCTGAAAGAGGCACCTCTATGTTAATAAACTTATAATTTAACAGACGGAGCAGATAGAAAGCAGGAAGCAGCTACACTGGTTTAAAATTGTGATCCTATGTGCTTTGATACGTGACATATTCACATGTAAGAAAACTAGTGTCCATCAATCTATCTGTTTTTATACAGATGGGATAACGTATGACAGCTTATCTGATAACTTAAGGAATCTCGTACGTATATTTTTTATCCCTCTGCTGGCGTTTTTTTTTTTTTGCCGCTGATAATGAAGGGAACAAAAGGAATGAATGGGATGAGTGACATTGGACAGAAATGACAGAAGGGTGATACTATGATTATGGTTCAAATGCGTCCTGGAAGACAGCCGAGTCCACCGGGTACCCTTTCAGTGGTCACGAATGCTGCTGTTACTGCTACGATGCAACACGCACCGACTGACTGCTCTCACGAGAAACTAACAGATGCAGGAAATAAAAGCCAAGGTTTGTTTTGCTGTGGGACATTTTTTCAACCTTTCTCGTTCTCGGTCTCTTTTGGCACGAACATTAACGTGTTACTACTCCTGTTCTGCATATAGAACATATAAAATAATGTATATACTGTAGGAGTACTTACACACAGATTTTCGTGAATTGTCTCTTTCTACAGAGAGTAAAGCAAAACCTATATAATTAGTTTTAAATAAGTGTTGGATTGCAGGTATGGACGAGAAAGTAACTTGTGATTATTAATAAATTAACAATTTGAATACATTGAAATAAACTTAAGCCGTGTTGAGAAAATTTAAAACTTTTCACTTCCACTGATGCGCCCGATCATTCAATCAGTTGGGGCAGTGTGGAGATCTTGGATCGTTACCCCCTGAGGTTCAATCGAAAGATGAAGAGGGGTATTTACATCCAGGGCCGAGAACCATCGCTTAAAAAGAATCGGGGTGAGGGGGTGGGATTGGCACAAAGGTTTCCTCATCTGGAACAGTTAAATAGTGATCACTAAACTGTTCATTACACACTGTCTCATATTTCTTCAGTGTGACACACATTTTTGTGAAATGTCTCTCTCTACAGGGAGTAATGCAAAAAATATTAAATATGTTTCAAGTAAGTCTGTGACAAGTAAGTAACCGTGTCTATTAAACCGCTTTCCACTTTCAGTTTGTATAGGTTTTAAGTGAAAAGTTTAAAATCTCCGCAACATGATTGCAATATTACTCAGGTTCACTTTAATCAGAAACTTACAAAGTAAAATCATTATTTGAACTTTTTCTAATCTGTTCTGTTTAACTATCTATTTGATCTCTGTCCATACTGATTTTAATGTTTCATTGGATTGCAGGTTTTGACGAGAAAGTAACCTGCACATTCTTCAAATGCAAAAACCCCCTGAGATAACGATGTATCATGCACATATTTGAAAACTTTAGACAAATACACAATCAAAATAAATAACAAAAGAAAAATCAATCAAAATAAATATCAATAAAAATGACATGTAAAGTGGGGCAAAATTTTCGTGCACTCTATACACAATACTGCCCACGGCATATGTATGTGATGAGGGATGAGCAACATATGACAAAAGGTTATATTTGAATATACGACCATGTGACATAAATGTATAAAAGTGAAACAGTCAAACTACGGACGTCATTATTCAGACAGAGGGAATATACCACACCACCAAACAGAAGAGACGCACAGAAGTGGCTCTGAAAAACGGTAAAGTAAATGACAAAGTGTATATATTTGTATATACCCAGTATGTAATTAAATGCGCTTGAATTGATATTTTGACACCTTTGTCTTATATTGTAATTAAATGCCAATTATTTATTTTACAAATAAATCCAATTTTAACTGAGCTTCATATAAGTTTTAAAGATAAAGGTATTTAAACGTGTAAAAACAAACGGATAAACGCGCGCCCAAATAGGGTAAGTGGTCATCATTTCAAACTTCCTTTCCAATACTCTTTGGCTTTGATACTGCTTTGTTTTCTATGTTTGAGCTAAATATATTGAACTCTTCTTTTGTCCAACAGCTGAAAGACACACCTCCTTGTTAAAAACATAATTAATCAGACTCAGAGCAGATAGAAAGAAGGATGCAGCTACACTGCCTTAAAATTGTAATCCTGTGTGCTTTGGTTCGTGACGTATCAGGTAAGAAATCTATCTATCTATCTATCTATCTATCTATCTATCTATCTATCTATTTTTTATACAGGAGGAGATAACGTATGACAGCGTATCTGATAACTTGATAAATTCTACACGTGTATTTCCTATTACTCTACAGGCTTTTCCCTTTGCGACCGGGTCTTATTCCAACCGCTACGAGAGGCCAGATGTAAGCAATTTTACTATTTAGTAATTAAATTGAAATAAAATTAAATTTGTAAAAGATAAAAAAGCAGTTATTATACCATTTATATATTTAATTTTATAAGTTAATTAAATTTATCAGTCGTAGATCAATTTAACGCCCAACTCTACTGTCTTTTTACGATGATTTTCAGCTATAGGTTCACAGGGTACAGGAGGGCCTCCAGGGACATGTGGTCCAAAAGGAACAGGAGGGCCTCCTAGCACAGCTGGGCCACCAGGAACAGGAGGCCCACCAGGTACATCAAGAGGACCACCAGGAACAGGAGGCCCGCCAGGAACATCAAGAGGCCCAACAGGTGCAGATGGCCCTCCAGGGACAAAGGGGGCATTAGGCACAAGTGGACCACCAGGTACAGGGGGACCTCCAGGAACAAGTGGTCCACCAGGCACAGGAGGACCCCCCGGAACAGGAGGACCACCAGCAACAGGAGGACCACCAGGTACAGGTGTCCCTCAAGGAACAGAGGGACCACCGGGAACAGAGGGGCCACCAGGAACAGGGGGACCTCCAGGAACAAGTGGTCCACCAGGCACAGGAGGACCCCCCGGAACAGGAGGACGACCAGCAACAGGAGGACCACCAGGTACAGGTGTCCCTCAAGGAACAGAGGGACCACCGGGAACAGAGGGGCCACCAGGAACAGAGGGGCCACCGGGAACAGGAGGTCCACCTGGAACAGCAGGGCCAACAGGAACAGGAGGACCACCAGGTACAAATGGCCCACCAGCAACGAGTGGACCACCAGGCACAAGGGGGCCACCAGGGACAAGTGGCCCACCGGCAACAGGAGGGCCACCTGGGACAGGAGGACCACCGGCAACTGGAGGGCCACCTGGAACTGGAGGGCCACCAGGGACAGGAGGACCACCGGCAACTGGAGGGCCACCTGGGACAGGAGGACCACCAGGGACAGGAGGATCACAGGCAACTGGAGGACCACCTGGAACTGGAGGGCCACCAGGTGCAGGAGGACCAACAGGAACAGGCGGTCCCCAAGGAACCGGAGGTCCACAAGGAATAAGCACTGGTGGACCCCCAGGAACAGAAGGGCCCAAAGGTAAGACCAAAGGAAATAAATCAAACTGAACATTACCTTTGTCATATACACAACTTTTCTTCAACTTCATCCCGAGTATGGTTATTCAGTCGGTCATACCTTAAAGCTGCCTAAATTTGATTAAGGGAGGGAAGCATGAAGTCAATATTTTCCCAGGCAAAAAATTCTCCAGATTCAACATTAATATTGTTTACACACTCAAACTACCACCCCTTATGCCTAGTTAACCGACTTGATGACAGGGAAATACAGAAGATATTGTAGTTATTATAGTATGGAAGAGGGCGTGGGTAATTAATGAACGCACCCTTGGGATGAAATTAAAATTTCCCAGGATGTCCATTAGTACACCTGGTTAAGTCTAACTGGCATAAAATGGATTTCTAGAAAGAACAATTAATAACAATCACATTTTATGAAATCGCCGAGAACTGGTATTATATGAGCTGGATTTCACTTATTGTGAATAATGTATTGACACATTAAGGATATCAATATTACAGGATTGAAAGGTATGGTTGGACCGCCTGGTGACATAAAGGGCCAAAAAGGTCAGAAGGGAATGATGGGAAATGTAGGGAATTTTGGTGCGACAGGAGAAATGGGCATGAAAGGAATGAAGGGGATTAAAGGAATGAAGGGGATGAGTGCAATTGGACAGAAAGGACAGAAGGGTGATACCATGACAGTGGTGCAAATGCGTCCTGGAAGACAGCCGAGTCCACCGGGTACCCCTTCAATGGTCACGAATGGTGCTGTTACTGCTGGGATGCAACACATACCAGTTGACTGGCCTCACGGAAAATTAACAGATGCAGAAGATATAAGCCCAGGTTTGTTTTGCTGTGGGGCATCTTGTCAACCTCTCTCATTCTCTGTCTCTTTCCATGTTTTACTACTCCTGTTGTGCATATAGAACATATAAAATAATGTATATGGGAGTGGCAACGGTCGAAGTGTAGTAAATTGTCTCTCTTTACAGGGAGTAAAGCAAAAATATTAAATTAGTTTTAAAAAAGTCTGTGACGAGTAAGTAACTAGTTTTTATTAAATGAACCACTTGAAGACAATGAAACAAACTTAAACCGTGTTGAGAAAATTTTAATCTTCTCACTTCCACTGATGCACCCAATCATTCAATCAGTTGGGGCAGTGTGGAGATCTGGGATCGTTACCCCCTGAGGTTCAATCGAGGGATGAAGGGGGTATTTACATTCAGGGCTGGGGACCATCACTTAAAAAGAATCGGGGTGAGGGGGTGGGGGTGGTACAAAGTTTTCCTCGTCTGGGACAGTTTAATAGTGATCAGTTCTCACTAAACTGTTCACTATACACTGTCTCATAACCTCAGTGTGGCTGATGAATTCCCAAGTGTTGGGGTGAAAGATTTCACAGGCACACTTTCAGTTTGTATTGGGATTAAGTAAAAAGTTTAAAATTTCCAAAACATGATTGAAAATATAACTCAGGTTCACTTTAATCAGAAACTTACAAAGTAAATCATTATTTGAACTTTTTCTAATCTGTTCTGTTTTACTATCTATTTGATCTCTGTCCATACCGATTGTAATGTTTCATTTACAGACCTTAAGGCAAAGCTGGATGCGGCTATAAAACACCAAATTATCCTAAGCTGCATAATAGGGACGGTGCTCATTGGAACCATTGCCATATACATTGTTTACTTCCGGGCGCGACGCAGAGAGAAAGCCGCCATTGCTAGATTGCGACAAAAACTTTTATGTTAGTTAAAAGTGAGAAGTTTTCTAACCATTTATTGCAATCGCGGGGAATTAATTACTATGTACTCATCTAAGCTTATCTAATCTTATCTTGTAACTGGATTTGAAAATTCTCTTGCCAAAGAGATCCAAGATCGAGGTAATAATATCATAGGGACTGTTTTAACAAAGTTGGTTTTGGAGGGGTAGGTCAACCCAATTTTGAGGTTTGGTATACAATAAATACTTGAAATACAGATATAGTGCGTGTGTTGTGTGGAATTATTTTATATTTTCTGATCACAAGAACGTTCATGAAATGAGCCGTTTTTGAGACATTAATTAATCATATGTGCCAAACATGTCATGTACGTTTAGAACATTATTAAACACACATTATATTGTATAATTATTGTTTTATTGTTGTTGTACATTCAGTATACATTTGTAGAACAGAAAAGAGTCACATGTGCAATAAGTCCTTGGCATATACAAAACATTTTTATTCAATTTTCTTTACTTTAGTTTGTACCTACTTCTGTCGAAATGTAGTTACTGTACTTGGCAAAAAAGGACACTTAAACGTCACGCTTTCTTCCATTTTGTGGAGCTATGTTTAAACCAAGAACAAAATAAAATAGTATGACCCTATGATATTTTAAAGTGTCACATGTGCAAGAAGTCCTAGACTACGCATATACAAAACATTTTTCTTGGTTTAGCTTTCATACCTAGTTCGCACCGAATCTGTTTAAATTTAATAACTGTACTTGGCAAAAATAATAAATAAATAAATAAATAAATAAATAAATAAATAAATAACAAGCACACTTTAACGAATTATGAATTTCTTCAACGTAATTATACATCTTTAGGTATTTGGAATATACTGATAATAATAAATATCATTTAAAATGGATATTCATAGTAAGATTCCTTTGCGGAAAAGGCCAGGTTAACCTTTGATTCACCTTCTTACGTATCCGGGAAAATAATACATTAAATAACTAATAAATAATTCATTTCCAAATCTGTAATTGTCCATCTATTTTTCGACAAAAGGTTATCACACCTAATACAATCTAGGAAACATTATGGGCGTATTGCTATAAAACGGCATTAGTAAAATTGAATTAATCAGTTTTGTACCACCACCTTCTTTATTCCAACACAGGTATAAATACAGCTAGGCTTTTTAATCTGTTCTCACTACCGTGATCGTGTCTACGAACACGGTTACTCTTCACCGTGACCAAGCCTACCGCCCACTTTTTGAACAATGGAAGTAGGAGGATCGTTTAACAATGGATATTTAGCCAGTCGCGTGGCAGGAGAGCGTGTCCCGATCTCTCAACCTGGCAGGGGGCGACCGTCTTATTCAGGAAGCGTGTGCATTTAGGCGTGATGTCATTCATAGCCGCTAATTGTTGTCCGGTAAATATTGCACCGCTTCTTATTACTTCAAAAATCGAAGCATCTACTTACTGTACTTCGTCAGTTAAACGGGAATATATAAAGCGGGTTTAGCAGAAAATACAATTAACAGCATATTCACTTAAATAAACAAGTGTAAACACAAACCAACGCTCAATTTGAAGAGAATAAATGATAGTATGACCGTTTTGATTTGCTTGGATGTAAGCTTATTGTATGGAAATGGCGTGAGTAATAAAAAGAACAGGAAGAAGCAGAAAAACTTACGTTTCAATGCTATTTCGGCAAAAGGCTTTTTATATTTTGATTTACTTGTAGGACTGGTTTAGTGAGAAATAAAAAAAAAAAGAATACATAGCATATAATCAATTTATCCATTTATTCTGTACATAGACTGAGGTAGTACTTTATGATGGTGGTTACACCATAAACTGTTATTTAATAAATGTTCGTATTATCTAGTCATTGTAATTTATTTTTGTTTTGATTAAAGGGATTATAACATTTTACTGCCATATGCCATTATCGATAGTAGTTCTTCCTTACAATGTATGAAAATGTCTTTTTTCTAGTTGAATGATATTAAAAAAATTACTATGAAGAGCATCGCCACTACAGAGATTAGGAAAACTCTTCATGACACTAAGATGGGTGCAAATGTGTACCCTCTCCAGCACTGTTTAAAGGTCCACAAACAAATATACACACATTTGTCAAGACGACAAGATAGATTTCACTACGATGTATCAAGTGTAATAATTGTTACATATATATTCTAAATGTTGCTTACTTATAATTGCATTAAGAAAAAAATCAGTATATCAATTAATTTAGTTTAAATAAAATCATCTGCAACAGAGGCTAAAAGCTGTGCACCTGGGACTAAGGGACTGCCTAAGCTCAAACATATTGAAGACAAAGACAACATCCTTTCCTTTCCGAGAGAACAATAACGGGGGCGAAAGGAACAATTACAACGTGCAAACGTGCATCAGATAAGAAGCCCTACAATGTAGTTGCGATTTTATCTGCAATGGTGGTCACAAGCTGGTCTCATCCTTCAATGCGATGGAGTTGAAATGGTGTCGCCGACATAAAACAACCACACTTGGCAATCAATGTTATGCTGGAGTTTTGTTAAGTGATGTCAGGCATAGACCTGAAAAGGTTAATTTGATCTACAGTAGTGCGTTAAACATCGAAACGAGGTAATTTCTGGTCGTGCGTCTCCGTCGATAATTAATATACCGGTATATTAGAAGAAAGAGTCTTGACAATTTCCCTCAAAGTTATCTCTTCATTCAGACTGGAGGTGTGCATTTGCTATACAGTACTAAGCAACGGTCGTACGTAAACGTTTATCTAAACACATCTGTCAGGACGTCAAGATAGATTTCACTTAGATGTTTCAAGTATAATTTCATATTTACTCCAAATGTGGCCTAACTAAAAGTCCCTAAAGAAAAAGCAGCATATCAATTAATTTATTTTAAGTTAAATCATCTGCAACAGAAGCTAAAAGCTGTGCACCTCGGACTAAGGGACTGCCTTTATTGAACTAAACTCAAACAACTTCCTTTCTTTTCAAACAGAACAATAAAGGAGGTGAAAGCGGCAATTGCAGTGTATATACGTGCATTGTACAGTGTACATCAATTAAGGGGTCCGGTTGCTGTAAAGGGTGTAATTATATATATGTACTCCAATGGTGTCTTTTTGCGATTTTATGTACTATTAAAACAACCTTATATAAATGTCACTGGGTCCAGCAACAAGAAATTTAATTCACATCTTTCCTATTGATGTTAAATGTAACAATCAGGGCTGAAGAGGTGAAATGGTTAAATAAATGTGGGGCAGGGGGGGGGGGGTATACTTTTTCGAGAGAGCCAGGGCTCAACTTTGGTTGGGAACAGGAATGCGAAAGACATGATTTTATTTTCATCTGTACTAACCAATCTTTCCTAGATGTCGAGAAGACATGATCTTCTTGGTTTTCTTTTAGCTTGATCTTACTGGAACTGTTTAGTCTCTAGGAACCCTTCTGTAACAGCACTTATCCCGTGAAACGGAATGTGATTGAAAAGTCCTTCTGTGTGACCATACTTATACCAGAAAAATGAAGCCATTTTTAGTCAGAGGTAAACGCAGTGCTATATTTAAGTTAACAAGCCGTCTTTTCAAATTCAGGTACTTATAATTAACGCGCCTGGGTTCCTGGAGCAAATTCCAGGCCGTGAATGCAAAAAATAAAACTTGATGTGTGCAGTGACCAATGTATTAATCTATAATAAGAGGTATAATGGTTTAGACGAATGGATAATTAGAAAAAAGATGTTGTGATTTAAAATGAATTACTGCTAAATAAAATTTAACTGAACATTTTATAATCCTATTTTGCATAATATTATCTGTAAATCGACGTGCAGAATGAATATTTTTCATCTAACATTACAAAATTCTTGGCCAATCAGTGGATTAGGGGGGGACTTTTTCAATTGGCTTGAGCATGTTATCGTGACTCTTATCGTTTCACCTAAGTAAGGCAAAATTAAGATGAAAGGGCAACATCGGTAAATTAATTATATTTCATTCAATTACAAAATTCTATTTTTGAAAATGTCTACGAAGTTTGGAATGCGGTGAATAAACAGAAATATCGTCAGTGCTTGAACCATGGTTAAACCCAACATTTAGTCTTCCATGTTTTAACAAAGGGCACGTGCCGTTCTACACCAGAACAATGCTTGGGACTAGCGGGGCGTATGATTGCACAGGCTGCTTGACAGGACACGATGTAGACAGCGGGGAGTCCGAGATGGTTACGATTGATAACTTAACAGCTTAAACTGTCGCTATTTGCCCTGTTATTATCCACGCGGGGGTTATCAGGAGTCACGGTCGCACTGACCGTGACTTACTGTGAACGGTCTTATTGGCCTAGCTGTACATGTCCCATGAATATGTGTATCCCCTGTCTCCGCTCAGACCCTGTCGAACTATGGCCGACTGCTGTAAAAGGTACCCCTATTGCAAGAAAAGCAGGTTCAGGACCAAACAAGGGGAGTGTCCCGGGCAATGTGTTGTCAAAAGACAGTTTTTTAATGATTAATGGTTTTATCATAGTGATTTTGTTTTATGTTCTGCAGGGGGCGTGTCCAGATAGCTTCTGTACGATCACTTCACCCCCAAAAAGGTGTTTCACAGCTGAGTTTCCAAAACGTTCTCATTCATTTGCCTTAGTTTTGGATGTAGATGATATTGCAATGCACTGAATATATCATTTAATTTTCTTTTAGAAGGGACTCTAAAAATAACTTCCAAGTTTCTATACGCACGGGACGGCTAACAATGGCATTCCAATACTGCTGAAATTTTGTTGGCTCATTACTAAATTTGCAGAGGAATTTTTATTAAAATACTCAAAATCCTTAGGAAAATCTATAATTGGAATTCAATTTTCTATATAACTAAAATTTGTCTCTGATTTACCAGTCAAGGTGAAAGTAAAAGTGTAGGCTTCTCAAACTGTCGTCATGATTGTGGTAGGTTGGACAACACAATTGGCGTATCCGGAGAGGTAAATTGACGTCACAACCGTGGAAACGTGTGCATACAAAATTCGGTTTTGCTTTCCCCGGATGTGTACGATTTCATTATTTTTAGCAGGGCCTTTGGTTATGATTCAGACGTGTTGATAATAAAACCCGATTCCCAACTAAACTACAATGTTAAGAACAGTCTGAGGACGGCGCTAAAATAACTTGACGCCGAATATAACGGGTTTGAACGTACTTTACAGGGGCGGATCCAGGATTATTTGAAGGGGGGGGGGTCCGCTGATGTGATGCCCCCACCCCCACTTGGCGAGGGGTTAATAAATTCTGGTATCTAAGAGGGAGAACGTGCCATTTGGTACGGTTAAGAACTGATTTAGCATGTCAAAGTTCTAATTTCAAAAGGGGACCAGAAATCGATTCGGGGGGTCAGGACCCCCTGACCCCCCTCTAAATCCGCCACTGCTTTAGTTAAAACGGACTGCTAAACATCTCTTTCCATCTTATTTGTAGTTTCGGTTACGCGAAGACAAATGCCTTGAATGCAAGCAAAAATAATTGCTTCCATCTGGCAAAAAGTTCCAAGGTCACAGTACAAAAAAGTGTACATACATGTAACTAGACAAAGACATATCTGTGACTATCTTATTGTCACCAGATGTCCAATAGATGCATACATAATATAGGTCCACTGATCACATTGGCCTGGAATATGTATTATCAGTCCATTGGCCTCAGGTTTTGAGTCCAATCCGTTGACCATGATTACATGAGACAGGGCCAGGCCTACCGTCACAGCTCAGTTGAGACAAATCATCACGCATGATGGAGGATTGATTTTTTGTTTCTTTCTTACTTTGTTGCACCTCTCTTATGTCACTGGTCCAACCTACAACATAATTAACCAGGATTGCTAACTCATTCCGCGCATTCAGTTTTAATATGTTCCTCTTGTGCATTGTTTCCCGTTGTTCACTGTTATTATTTAATTCAAGGCGTTTTACGACACACCTAGGCATATAAAAACGCATTTTCATGTTACAGGGTTGATAAAAGGAACTGGCACACCAGGATTGTAAAATATTCTTCAAATGAAATCAATGAGATAACGATGTAACTTGCACATATTTGAAAACTTTAGACAAGTACACAATCAAAATAAATAACAATAGAAAATCAATCAAAATAAATATCAATACAGATGAAATGCAAAGTGTTGCAATTTTTTCGTGTACTCTATACACAATACTGCCCACGGCATGTGACGAGGGATGAGCAACATTTAACCTTAGGATAAAGTAAAATCGAAAAGTATTATGTCCTATGTCATAAACTATAAACGTGAAACAGATTAACTAGAGATGTCATTATACAGACGGGGCGAATATACTGCACCACCAAACAGAATAGACGCACAGAAGTAGCTGAAAGGAACGGTAAGGTAAATGACAAACTGTATATATATGTGTGTATATACTCAGTATGTAATTAATTAAATGCACTTGAACTGACATTTTAACACCAGTGTCTTATGTATTCATCTTTCGTCAATTCAAAGCTAACCGTTTTCCAATTATTTATTTCACTAATAAATTCAATTTTAACTACGATCGGAGCTTCATATAAGTAAACAATATAAATGTCTATGTTGCTGAAAATAGCTACACTTACATGTGTAAAAACAAACGAATAATCAGGCGCTAAAATAGGGTAAGTGTTCATCATTTCAAACTTCCTTTCCAATACTCTTTGGCTTTGATACTGCTTTGTATTCTATGTTTGAGCTAAATATATTGCACTTTTCTTTTGTCCAACAGCTGAAAGAGACACCTCCTTGTTAAAAACATAATTAATCAGACTCAGAGCAGAAAGAAGGATGCAGCTACACTGGCTTAAAATTGCAATCCTGTGTGCTTTGGTTCGTGACGTATCAGGTAAGAAATCTATCTATCTATCTATCTATCTATCTATTTTTATACAGGAGGAGATGACGTATGACAGCATATCTGATAACTTGATAAATTCTACACGTGTATTTCCTTTTACTCTACAGGCATTTCCCCTTGTGGCCGGGCCATATTAGAACCGCCACCTGAGACCAGATGTAAGCAATTTTACTATTTAGTAATTAAATTGAAATAAAATTAAATTTGTAAAAGATAAATAAAGCAGTAATTATACCATTTATATATTTAATTTTATTAGTTTATTAAATTTTTCAGTCGTAGATCAATTTAACGCCCAACTCAACTGTCTTTTTACGATGATATTCAGCTATGGGTTTACCGGTAACAGGAGGGCCTCCAGGGACATGTGGTCCACCAGGAACAGGAGGGCCTCCAGGCACAGCTGGGCCGTCAGGAACAGGGGGCCCACCAGGAACAGGGGGCCCACCAGGTATAAGAGGACCACCAGGAACAGGAGGCCCGCCAGGAACATCAAGAGGCCCAACAGGTGCAGATGGCCCTCCAGGTACAGATGGTCCACCAGGTACAGGAGGGCCTTCTGGCACAGGAGGTTCATCTGGAACAAGAGGGCCTCCAGGCACAGCTGGGCCGCCAGGAACAGGAGGACCACCAGGGACAAAGGGGGCATTAGGCACAAGTGGACCACCAGGTACAGGGGGACCTCCAGGAACAAGTGGTCCACCAGGTACAGGAGGACCCCCCGGAACAGGAGGACCACCAGCAACAGGAGGACCACCAGGTACAGGAGTCCCTCAAGGAACAGAGGGACCACCGGGAACAGAGGGACCACCGGGAACAGAGGGGCCACCAGGAACAGAGGGACCACCGGGAACAGGAGGTCCACCTGGAACAGCAGGGCCAACAGGAACAGGAGGACCACCAGGTACAAGTGGTCCACCAGCAACGAGTGGACCACCGGGCACAGGGGGAACACCAGGGACAAGTGGCCCACCGGCAACAGGAGGGCCACCTGGGACAGGAGGACCACCGGCAACTGGAGGGCCACCTGGAACTGGAGGGCCACCAGGGACAGGAGGACCACCGGCAACTGGAGGGCCACCTGGGACAGGAGGACCACCAGGGACAGGAGGATCACAGGCAACTGGAGGACCACCTGGAACTGGAGGGCCACCAGGTGCAGGAGGACCAACAGGAACAGGCGGTCCCCCAGGAACCGGAGGTCCACAAGGAATAAGCACTGGTGGACCCCCAGGAACAGAAGGACCCAAAGGTAAGACCAAAGGAAATAAATCAAACTGAACATTACCTTTGTCATATACACAACTTTTCTTCAACTTCATCCCGAGTATGGTTATTCAGTCGGTCATACCTTAAAGCTGCCTTAATTTGATTAAGGGAGGGAAGCATGAAGTCAATATTTTTCCAGGCAAAAATTCTCCAGATTCAACATTAATATTGTTAACACACTAAAACTACCTCCCCTTATGCCTAGTTAACCTTATGTCTAGTTAACCTTATGCCTAGTTAACCTTATGTCTAGTTAACCTTATGCGTAGTTAACCTTATGTCTAGTTAACCTTATGCCTAGTTAACCTTATGTCTAGTTAACCTTATGCCTAGTTAACCTTATGTCTAGTTAACCTCATGCCTAGTTAACCTTATGCCTAGTTAACCTTATATGTCTAGTTAACCTTATGCCTAGTTAACCTTATGCCTAGTTAACCTTATGTCTAGTTAACCTTATGTCTAGTTAACCGACTTGATGACAGGGAAATACAGAAGATATTGTAGTTATTAAAGTATGGGGGAGGGCGTGGGTAATTAATGAACGCACCCTTGGGATAAAATTAAACATTTCCCAGGATGTCCATCAGTACACCTGGTTAAGTCTAACTGGCATAAAATGTATTTCTAGAAAGAACAATTAATAACAATCACATTTTATGAAATCGCCGAGAACTAGTATTATATGAGCTGGATTTCTCTTATTGTGAATAATGTATTGACACATTAAGGATATCAATATTACAGGTTTGAAAGGTATGGTCGGACCGCCTGGTGACATAAAGGGACACAAAGGTCAGAAGGGAATGATGGGAAATGTAGGGAATTTTGGTGCCACAGGAGAAATGGGCATGAAAGGAATGAAGGGGATTAAAGGAATGAAGGGGATGAGTGCAATTGGACAGAAAGGACAAAAGGGTGATACCATGACAATGGTGCAAATGCGTCCTGGAAGACAGCCGAGTCCACCGGGTACCCCTTCAATGGTCACGAATGGTGCTGTTACTGCTGGGATGCAACACGTACCAGTTGACTGGCCTCACGGAAAACTAGAGGATCAGAGAGGCGATACCGCCTCCGAATATTGTACCACCAGCTGGAGCAAGCGCATTCGTATAGACCCCCACATACACAAAATAAGGGGTGCAGCCACCAGTCTTGTGCTTGACAAGCTGTAAAAATGCAATCAACAAGAATTTTCAAAATATGCAAAAAATATATATAACTAAAAATGGTGCAATCAAAGTTAAGTTCATTGTAAGGTAGGTCAAAGGTCAATTTCAAGGTCACAGTAAATTGCCAGTATATGACTTCCTATCCAACTTCAATAGTAACTATGGACCTATCTCTGCCAGTTTTGGAGATAAAAGGGAAGCAAAATTTGCAAAGTTCAGTTCATGGTGAAAAGTAGGTCAAAGGTCAATTTCAAGGTCACA